AAAAACTTTCAAAAAACACAAGGCTCGGCAAAAAAATGTCTGCCAGTGTATATTCATGATCATATTTTTTTAGAGATGCTGGGTTTTTTCTTATATGTTTGAAATTTTATGTGTTGTCATACCATTTTTATCAGTTGTTTCAAAAATGTATTTATAACAAGTAATATCATCTTTTTTAACTTTCTCTTTAGAAATTAGTTTCTTGTTTTGGAACTTTTGTTCGTTTGCGTTTTGGAACAAAGTTCCGACTACTTCTTAAATCTTGATTTCTTCTGACATCTTTCTTAGAAAATAAAAAAACGAAAAACGAGTTTTAAAATATGATAAAAATAAAATGAATAAAAGTGATTTAATAAAATTTGATTAACACTTAAATATTATAAGAAGGATTTTTGTCCGTTTCTTATTAACCAAATAATAATATTTGCCCATTAAAAAACTCGAAAAAAATTGATCACAAATAAATGAGTAATTTAAATTCTAGATCGTATTTGTAAAATAAAATGAAAAGACGTAATAAGTTATTTGAGATTTCATAACAGATAATCAACAATTATCACGTGCATTCACAATTCCATGTGAAATGGATACAATGATAAGCAGATTAATAAACTTTACAATAACTTCACGTTTTATTCGATTTTCTTTTTAAAATAACCACTTTAAAACCTCCAACGACAAATAATCTCAATATAAAATGGTGCGAATTGAAAGTATCATATTTTTACAATCGTAAATCAACAGAAAAAAACCTCATTTAAAAATGTGTGGTTGATGAAACTATTCAAAAAATAATTAAAAATTAAAAAACCCGAAAATGAAAAACTTAAAAATAATAATAATGTTATTAACGAGTTCGCCGAAAAAATACGAACACATAAATTGTACGCGTAAATTATAAACGCATAGTTGATAAAGTTTGTTTTGTTCTGTGTCATACAAAAAAATTCAAAAACAGAAATAAATGTTTGATAGAAATGGTCTCTATGTTGAAGAGCTTGCTGCTCTCGATACTCATTGATAAAAAATTCAAAAGGCAAATTGATCCAAATGTTGTCAACACACATTTAAAATATTTGTATTTACAAAGTGAGCCAACCCAACGTGGGAAACCCCAAAATCTTTTCTAAAAATTGATATTTGGCAAATCTTAGTCAAATTAGTTCTCAATTGTTATTTGTTTTCTTTTAGTTGTTGGCGGACAAAAAAACCGCCTTATAGTTTTAACAGGTTTTCCCCTTTTTTTTAAACCAAACTAAAATTTGCTTTTTATTACTTCTCCCTTTCAAAAAAATTACAAGGAAAAAATCCAACCTGTTAATCAGTATAATCACTAAATGTAGTTTTGAAACAAGTTAAATTATTAAATTTAAATTTTTCATGTGTGTGAATATATAATTTTTATGATAATTAAAATAAATTATAACACCATCTTCATTTATAAAACACCTCCAATTTCTTTAAAGTTGTCTGTTTTATAATATTCTTCTAGATAGTTTTTAATTTTAGTATTTAGTTTCAAATAATAATTTTTTTATTGTGATTAGTTTCTAAATTAATAATTGGATTTTGATAAAATTCAAAACAAATACCTTTTACAAAATATGTTTTGTATTCCTCTAATTTTTTAACTCTTTTATAACTTACTGTCATTTTTTAGTAGAAAAAAATTTAAAAATAGATTACAAAAAATATTACAAAAACACAATTTTAAACACTATATTAAAATCCAATAAAAATGACAAAAATAACGATAAAACAATAAATTTAATAATAATAACACTATCAATAAAAACAATCAGTTCCTTTATCATTTTGTTAATTGTTATCATTAAAAGAATTAACTTAAAAAACCCCTTTAAAACACACTTTTCGAGTTTATATGGTGTTAAAATACTAAAGGAATAAAGTTTAATTCTTAACAAAAACACCAATGAAATAATTTTTTGTTCACAAGTAAAAAACAGTAAATTGAAAAAAGATTAAGAAATACGTTTTAATTATTAGCTTAAATAGAAATTTATAAAAAGCCTAAGGAATACAATTTCATTATTGACTAATATCGAAAATGAAAAACCCTAAGGATTAAAGTTTCATTCTTGGTCAATATAGAAATGTCGCACACGGTGACTATATATCACTACTAGCAGCTGTCTCACCAACAGCAGGCTCATTAATAAATATGGGGTGTTCTTTGTGACAAAATTGAATGTTTTGCCATTGGATGAACAACTTGTTCTAGAAAAAAATCACCACACAACAAACCAAAGTTAAGAAGAAAAAACGTTCAGATAAACTCGGAAAAGTGATGGTAAATGAAAACTAATTTGGTAATATTAGAAACAAGTTGAGAAGTTTGTTAAATTGTTGACCGCTCAAAAGGCTGATTTACAGAAAAAAACTTGGGAAGAATAGAACAATAAAACATGAGGTAAAAAAGTCAATGACTAAGAGCTAAAGTTACAGATTCAAAAACTAAATTTATTACAACAAATTCAATTAATATTTCAAAAGAGCAATTTTCTGTGTCTGTTGATGCGTTTTTAGTTGTTTGTATTAACCAATTTTATTTAAGTGACTACATGTCAAAATACAATAAAAAGCAATAAAAAAGCAAAGAAGTTGATTTTTAAAGAAAAACGTTTAAAAGTTATTAACATTTTAAAGTTTTACATGTATTATTTATTTATCAATTTCAATGTAATTAATTGTCAAGAAACAAATTACAAGGAACTGACGGGTTTGAATTGTGCAATTATTGATTGATTGTTTTTTAGAAATTTGTTTAAAAACATTGAGCGTTTTTAAAGATTTGAAGTTTATTAATACCATCATTAAGTTATACAGTTTGAGTGTTTATCGTTATTGTTATGTGTATGACAGTTAGTAATAACTGTTGTATTTTGTTTTTAGTTTGTTTAAATTATAATCTCTAATTATTTTTGGTTATAAATAAAGTTGAAAAAATGAATAGATAACTAAACCAAATATTAATATTTGTATTAGTTTTGGATTTGGATTTATGTTAATAATTAATTTTCATGTTCTTTAAATTTTTGTTGAATTCTTTATGGTAAATAGTAATTCAATATCATATTCATACGGTTGGCGTGATGGTAAAAACTTTTATTTATCATTCTTCGAACCATTGTTCGTAGAGTGATCTATGCCCTACCAGTTTGCAACTCATTTCTAACAACAAAACTATTAATCAAAAGTTCATTATTCTAAATATTTTAATTGTTGTGAAAAATGTCAACATCATATATTTTAGTTATTATATACAAAACTAATTAACACAACAGTTTTCGAAAAGTTTAAAAATTGATCATTTTTAATTCTAATCAACCATTTTCATGAGTAATTGATGAAATTGGTTATAATTTTTAATTGTCACAAAAATACAATTTTTGTTTTTTACAACAAAAAAATATTTAACATATAAATTGTATATTTATTTTTATAATTTTAAAAATCTCATGTAGACTCGTGCATGTATTTCGTGGGTTTTTGTTATAAAACAAATTTGCTCTGGTTTAAATTAAATAAAAATAATTCTTTAATTGTGATTTTTATTATAAAATTTTCGTAAAAAACTAAAGTTATATTGAATTATTATTTTTCAAAACAATTGCAATTAATATCATTCGTGTTTTCCTATTTTTAATTGTTTTTTGAATTATAATATTTTACTAATATTACAGATGGATGATAAAGTCGGTGACAAGGATAATGTCAGTGACAAAATATAAATAACGCGTTTTTCTGAGGAAGTATAAAGTTTAATAGTTGTATTTCTCTATTAATCCGGGTTTTTGATCCCAATAAATGGATGGTAAAGGTAAAGTAGGTGACAACACTCCTATGCCACTTTTTCGTTGTTTTCCAAAAAAATTGAGGGGAAAAAAGACTGTAAATTTAAAAAACACAAAAAATGAAATAATATGTTCAAGCTTTTCTGAAAAAAGGTGATCTTAATAAAAAAAGAACTTCAATATTAAAAATAAATGATTACCATTAAAACCACGAACCCTCAACCACAAAACTCACTTGAATTAACCAAAGACGATAAAAAGCCAGATAATCTTCCAATCATTGCCATTGTACACTTTAAATTCCAATGAATTTGGTTGAGATGATAGATGGGGGAACAGTCTTACAAATTCGTTATAACGGGGTTGTTCTTTACATTTTTTTTACCTTTTCTGAAAGAATATGATTATTTAGACCTTCGTTGGATGTATCAAGCACAATGAGATCTGTCATTTCTTTGATGTGGCAGACTATTGTCTCATTTATTATCTCTTTTTGTTTGGAGTCAAAATCTGCAATGTTAACGACGTTAACGTGGTTGTTGATGTGAGTTTGGTCGTTGTTGTTTAATTGGGAAATACTGTTGTCTGGAAAAACGGTCTAAAACCATTTGACAAGCCTAAAAGCACTTTATAAATCAATGAAAAAAACGGAAGCGCTTTCAAAATTATGGAAACCATCCCTTTACTTTGAAATGACGAGATAATTCTTTCATTTGTTGCTGATTGATTGTTTTCTTTCTATTTTTTAAAATTTTAATGTAGTGTGTTATTTCTTTAAAGTTAACGAGTTTTTTATTCGGTTTTGTTATAGAGCCAAAATCTTTTGTGAATTGTTCATTAAATGATAAGAAATAGGCGTTACAACGTGTACAACACTTTATGCAAAAGGATTGACAGTAAGTGTTGGTTCAATTTACTCATTATTAAAATGTTAACAATATTTTTTTGTTTTATAAAACATTATTTTTGTCACCGACTTTATCCTTGTCATACATATTTTCCTCTATCTGTAAGTTTTTTGTTTTATTATTTAAAAATAGTATTTCCCCTTTTTTAAAACTTGAAACAATGAACAATTCTTAATCAATAATTCCTTTAAAATAATTGCAAAGACGAATTTTAAAAATATTTAAAGACCGAAAAACTGTGGATATCAAAATGTGTGGACTTTCTAGTTAACACATCATGATAGTCTCTAAGTATTTTAAAAAAATCAACGACTTCATTAACTTAGAGTTGTTATGCAAGAAGTTTAGTGGCAATATGGAGAAGTTTCATTTCAACCCGATTTCGTTGAATTTCAAAACATTTGAATACTTTTCAAACATCGAGACACTTCACTTATGGAATATAGAAGATAAGACCTTTGGTAATGGATTTATGAACAACACAAAAGAAAATAAAGATTGTGAAAATAAAACTGTTTTAAAAAAAGAATTTTATCGAATCATCGTGTGGTATTGTGTTGATTTTGAAACTGTTAACAGAAACAAAAGTCGAAACATCGAGTTTAAAAATGTTACTTACACTAAAAACGATAGAAAGAAATTTGGTAATAACATACCATCGAGTGTTACATCAATTGGTGAATATTGTTTCTATGGATGCAGAAGTCTAAGCAGTGTTACAATACCATCTAGTATTACATCAATTGGTGAATATTGTTTTCTATCAGATACAGTCGTCCATCGAAATTAATGTACTTGTTACTTATTATTTAATGTTTATTATTCTTTTAATAAATTTAATTAATAAAATTAATATTATTATATTATTATATTATTATATTATTATATTATTATATTATTATAAAGTCGACCATAAAATTGTCGTACACCAGAAAATACTCGTACACTTCCTAAAATAGATTTGTGTACATAAATTACAGTTTTATAAAGAAAAGTTGATAAAATTTTCTTCAAACTTTTCTCTATTCAAGAAACAATTCGAAGCAGTTTTCAAATCAAAAAATTGAATTTTAATTGAAATGATATTAAAATACAAATTGTTAATAGAATAAAGCCACTAATTAATTAAAAACAAATTATGTAATTAATAATATTATAATTATAAAGATTTGTTATTTAATTTATTAACGAAAAAGCATAAGATTTACTATATTTTATTATAAAAATATGATTAATTATTACAGTTAGTTTCATTTTGTTTAATAATTTTTTCAAAATTATAATGTTTTGTTTCAAAATAATGATAAAAATGTACCTTTAATCAACACTGTTTCAAAACAATAATTTATTGTTTCAAAAGAAAAACAATTGTTTCAAATTAATGAATAATTGTTTCATTAAATGATTTATTTTACATTAATTATGACTAATTGTTGAAAAAACTTGTTTTTTTGTTTCAAATTTTTAATTATTTGTTTCAAAACTGTGTTTGAATTCTCAAAACAATAAACACAAACAAACAATGAAAACAAACACATTTTGACAATAACTAACTGGGAAAATAAAAAATGTATATATTTAAACACCATTTAAATCTATATTTTCAATGGCAGTTAACACTTTTCAGTTTATTCATAGAGACAATGTCCAATCATTTTTGAATCAAGAAGATCCTCATCAACAACCAGTTCTTGATGAAGTACCACTTGCACAATTGAGAACTACAGATGAAATTTCAAGATCAAGTAGTTTGCGGAACACTGAAACACAACCATTTGGAGACACACAAATTACAACAAAACAAACAGAACAAAAAAGAATCTATGTTAAAGCGACCCAGTCCCAGAAAAACAGACTTTATAATGAATACTGTGAACACGGAGAAATCAAAGATTGGCGATATTATCAAGAAAAAAGCAAAATGAATGAACAAATGGTCAAACGGTATTTGAAGTATCTGAAAGGTGGTATTGATATTACGCAAACTCAAAAAGTGGGAAGAAAACCAAAATATTCTCCTGAGTTACTCACCGAAATAGCCAATAAATAAC